CATGTATCATCACACTACATCATGTATCATTACACTACATCATGTATCATTACACAACATCATGTAACATCACACTACATCATGTATCATCACACTACATCATGTATCATTCCACTACATCATGTATCATCACACTACCCCATGTATCATCACATTACATCATGTATCATTAAACTTCATCATGTATCATTACAATACATCATGTATCATCACACTACAGCATGTATCATACTACATCATGTATCATCACACTACATTATGTTTTATTACACTACATCATGTATCATTACAATACATCATGTATCATCACACTACAGCATGTATCATATTACATCATGTATCACACTACATCATGTATCATAACACTACATCATGTAACATCACACTACATCATGCATCATCACACTACATCATGTATCACACTACATCAGGTATCATCACACTACACCATGTATCATCACACTACATCATGTATCATTACACTACATCATGTATCATCACACTACATAATTTATCATCTTGTTACATCATGTATCATGACACTACATCATGTATCATCACACTACATCATGTATCATCACACTACATAATTTATCATCTTGTTACATCATGTATCATCACACTACATTATGTATCATCGGTACACTGTACGTCATGTGTAGTTTCAGAGTGTAACTGTGTAATAATATTTTAAATCACGCCCATTGACAATGTTTTCTTTTTCTTCGCATTAACATATAACCACATATTATCTACGAAAGAAGTACGGAACTTATTATTAGTTTTTACAATTGTATAATCAATGTTTTTATATTTAAAATCCTTTCTGCTCTTCCAGACTACCCACTTTATAGTTATAATTATTGTATTAAGTATAACTGATTCCTTATTATTTCTATGGAAACCAAGCATTATAACTTTCTCGGATGTCTGATTCCTGTAATCTGGAATAACAAAAACCACTGAGTTACAACAAGCGTTTATGACGATTTAGACATCAGAACAAACATGGAATAGACGGTAAATATTCTAATCATCCACTTACCATAAATGACATTTTCCGTTCGAATTCCCAAATTTACTTATTTTAATTTCCGTGTATACAATATTATGGATACATAACATCATGTATCATCACTACATCGTGGGTTTTAACATGTGTTACAATGGATACTTCTCATGCACTAATGAGTAAAGTTAAGACACAACATTAACTACCATGTTCACAGAACAGAGGAACATATAAGTTTGACCAACTGAAGTGACAAGGAATTGTGAATATGTGTTATGACAAAACAAACCAAGACAACAGGATGAGCATTATCAAAAACATTGATGTTACAGATTGGCCCCAATATGACAATAGTCATTTTAGAGAAAAAATCTTTTAAATGCCTGATGTCCTGGCAACAACCAACCTCATATGAAGAAGAGACTCCGGGGAAAAGTAAGACCATCAAGTCTGCTGTGACCCCGACAATAAGGGTATCTTACTCTAATGTGCAGTGGGATGCAAGGGTCCCATTTTCTCCGAACTCGTAAATTTCAATAATAATTAATTGAATTTCAATTTTTAAAGATAACACAAAACTATATAAAGCATTATACATGTAGCACATCACACATATACAATAACATACAATATTTAATTTCACACAGAATAGTAGTCACACCTTGAGGCGAAACCGGGGTTAACAATGCTTTTTCAGGTTCATGTCGCATTATATTAACCATCACAAAAGTCAATAGCTGTATCATTACATGCTTCAACGATTATTAAACCAAAAGGATCGGGCAAAAGAGATTGTGAGCAATAATCAAGTAAATAACAGCATAAAACAAACAAAAAAGAGAGAACAAGCCAAACACTTAAATGAACATTACATATTTTGTGTTAAAACATGTTCAATATGCAAAGACTTTGACAAAAGATAAATCTAACTTTAAAGTGTTCCTTTGCACCGCGAACAAAAGCGAAGACAAATTAATGGAACAAGTGAATAGAAAAGCTTATATGGGCCTACACTCATGCATGTTTCTCAGAGCCGACATCTGTCTCCGTAGGGATGCCATATGACTCCAAGGGCTTACATATGACTCCCAGGGCTTACATATGTCTCTCAGGGCTTATAAACATATATGTCTCTCATGACTTATATATCTCTAACATGGCTTATACATACATGTATGTCTCTCAGGGCTAACACATGTCTCTCATGGCTGATACATACATGTATGTATCCCAGGGCTTACACATGTCTCTCATGGCTGAAACATACATGTATGTCTCTCAGGGCTAACACATGTCTCTCAGGTCTTATACTTGACTCTCATGGCAAATATTTCTCTCTGGGATTACATATTGTTTTCGTGGATTATATAATCCGTTAGGATAACATATTTCTCTCAGGGCTTACACGTGTCTTCCATGGCATACATATGTTTCGTTTCTCTTGGCAATCATATGTCTCTGGTGGCTTTTATAAGTCTCCCTGGGCTTACTTATGTCTTGCAGGGCTAACACATGTCTCCCAGGGATTACATTTGTCTCAAAGGGCTTTCATATGACTTCCAGGGCTTATATACATGTGTCTCCAAGAAATTTTGTATGTCTCCCATGGCTTACATATGTCTATCATGGCTTGCATATGTTTCTAATGGAAAGCATATATCTCCAATGGATAACATATGTCTCTTAGGGCTTTTATAAGTCTCACAGGGCTTACATTTGTCTCTTAAGAATAACATTTGTCTCCAAAGACTTTCGTATGTCTCTCGTGTCTTTCCGATGTCTCCAAGGGCAAACATATGTGCCCAAGGGCTTACATATGTCTTCCATGGCTAACACATATTTTCTAGGGTTGACATAAGTCTCCAAAGGCAAACAAATATTTCTCATTGTTAACATCCGTCATCCAGGGCTTACATATGTGTATCAGGGCAAACATATGTCTCCAAGAGATAACATATGTCTCGCAGGGCTTTTATAAGTCTCACAGGGCTTATTTATGCCTTCCAGAGCTTAAATGTGTCTCTCAGGGAAAACCTATGTCTTCAATGGATTACATGTTTCTTTTGGCAAACATGTCTCAAAGGGCTTACACATGTCTCCGTAGAGATAACATATGTCTCTCAGGACTTATAAACATGTACCTTATTCAGGACCTGCGTATGACTCTTAGGGTTTACATTTGCAACGCAGAGCAAACATATGTCTCTTATGGTTGACGTATGTCTACCAGGACAAACTTATGTCTATAATGGCTGACATATGTTTCCAGGGGCCTACATATGTTTATCGGGGCAAACATATGTCTCTAAAGGTTTACATCTGTCTCCCAGTGCGAAAATTTGTTTCTCAGGGTTTACCTGTTTCCGAATGCAAACATATGTCTCTCAGTTAAAAAGTATATTGGATCCAAATGACTTTCATTTGATATCTGGGTAATAAAACTCGTATCAAGTTGTTTGGTTTGCGTAGCAAAAATGTACACATATAGACTAAATGCATAAATGTTGTTATCAATGAAAAAAAAATCATTGCTAAGAATGTAAGCATATATTTTCTGATCATATCAAGTTTTCAAGATCTTCATTTTAACTACATAAATATGATCGTCATTAGGGTGTCAAAAAAGAAAGTGTAAAATGACCAAATATTTGTACAACACGGATATATTCATTAAATAAAACAATAGTCATGTAAAATAATCGTGTATATAAAGATACAAACCAAAACAATTGTTATTGTTAACATAGCCATTGTTACAAGCTTGAATTGTTATTTTTATCTCTTGATTGATCTTGAATTTACAAATGCTGGATTTGAAGACGATTTTCGGGTGCTTTTCTAAACTTCTATTCACAAGGCCATTCTTTCCATGTTAGCAGTTAGAATATGAAAGGGAAAGAGCTGCTGTACGATGCATTTGACAATATCATGACGTTATAATATACCGCATATTGTCATCTCAAGTTCACCACTAATCTTTCTTTTGTAAGGTATTTAACGAGACAACCAACGAATGGGAGGTCAAAGGATTTATCTTGCCTTCACTCTTTACATATGTATACCCTTCGCTATATGTTCACCACGTAACTTATGACTATCATTCAACTCAATGCTGGCTCCACGGCAACTCCGTAGTGAAGCAATCATTGCGCAGTACAAAAGTCTTTTAGAAAATTAATTAAGATCTTTGTTTTTACTTGAAAGGCAATCGTGGTGCTTCATTTTTTACAAATTCATATACAAACCTCAATCTTATAGCAGGAATTTCTCAATTCACTTGGTCAACTACCGAACGGAGGTAATGATGCGGAGTCAGTAGAGTTGATATACGTGTATTTCTGTCTGATATGATAGGTTGGTGACTACGAATTTGTCCCCACACACCGATATAGCCCTGGGTTTGTTGATACCATCCTTTGACGTCAGAAGTTCTCTGATTTTGGTCCCGTTAGCGGAGACCTGTACCACGTTGTTGGAATCTTGACCACAGACGTACACATTCCCCTCACGGTCTACGTCTACTCCCTTCGCGTTCCGGACTACCCTCTCATCTATACCATATATTTGTAGACCATTTGGTAGTCTGGTAACCACAGTATTAACCACTGAAGATGTTTGCAGACAGGCAAATGTGGTATTCTTCTTCGGATTAGAAGCAAGATGCCAGCACGGTGAGGACAATGTATGATTTTGCACTACCTTACCGTCCATTGTCACGCTATGAATGCCTTCATTTGTGCTCACCATGAAATGTCCATCCATGAACGCCAAACCTTGACATTCGATGTACGTTGACACTTTTATCACGGTCGATAGGGTCAGCTTGGAAGGCTGTACTTTCACGACATGTATACCGGCAGTAGTAGCAACTGCCATTGTGTCATCATCCACCAAGCAAACATCATGTGGGTATCCATTGGTATTTAACTCGTCCAAATACTGTCCTTTGATAGAAAATAATCTTAGTTTCTGTTTTGTATATTCACTTACAATGATGTTTCCAGTCGGCATTAATAAAAGTCCGTGCGCTGCACACACATATGTATCTGACGGAATGTTAATCATGAATGCTCCTAATTTTTTGGCGCGACTATCAGATAGCGAGTCGACATTTTGTATTAACCCAATACCGTCAGGTATGATAAATGGTTGCTCCTTCGCGAGAATGATACCCAACGGCAAAGTAGTGCTGGGGTTTATTGTAAACAGGTTGGTGTTCAGGTCGTGGTTTATAGATACTGACTTCAATGGATTAACGATATTGTCAATAAGGTCATTACAGACCCCGATCTCTGTCTGACCTCTATGGAACAGTTGTATCATTCCGAAGTGGTCTTCCATCCGCAAGGCCGTCTGTGATGCTTCTTTTGTGTTCTGAATAGCGACCCTCAGTCGGCTACACTTCTGCTTGGATAAATCAACCTTGGCTTTCTCAGCTTTGCATTTTGAAATCATTTCTTGAGTTATCTCCTCCTGTTTCTTATCGAGATATGTGTTGATTCTCTGTCGGTGATCTGAAATACTGCTTAAACCAGCATTCTGACATCGCTGCAAAGATTTTACCTGTTGGTCAAAAGCGTTTACCATTAACTTCATGCAGTTGGCTGCTTTGTTGAGAGACTTATCCATGTCATCAAGCCTTAAGTTATTCTTCTTCGTTTCACAATACTCCTTGATTGTCGTTACATCGTCACATCGTTGATGATCTGTGATGATACATTTCTTGCATCCGATTAACTTATGATTTTCACAATGATGGTCCATCATCAAGTTGTGTTTCGAACATGTTATTGGCGATTGTTTTTCCCATGTCACGTCATGATTTGCCTCATTGAGAGTTACAATGGCACATACTTCGTGGACTATATCATGGAAATTAATCTTACAATTATCGCAAAACAATGTGTCATATCCTCTGCACAGAAACTTAGCTGGTGTTTCCTTATTTTTTGTCTTCTTGCAAGGGCCACAATAAAGTGGCGTACCTGCCATTTCTTTGTGGTTCTTAAAATACTGAATCAAACTGTTGGCAGGAAAATGTTGTGCCCACGTGTCTATACTCTCAGGGTGATTGACAGGCGATGTGATCTTCCTGCATACAGGACAGGGGAATGCTGTCATGGCGGCCATATCACCAGACAGGTCTGCGAAGATGTAGGTACTAAGACATTCCTCACAGAAGGAATGTAAACATGGGAGAGACTTTGGACTTCGCATCTGCTCCAGACAGATAGGACATTCGAGAAGTTGACCGGTCAAGACAGTGTTTTCTTTGTTCAGTTGGTCTGCCGGTAGAGGCCCACCTGCCGCCATCCCTGCAGGGATCTCTCTGTATTCGTCTGAAATTTAAGAAAGATAATTAATATAATGTATTGAAATGCAAAAAGTATAATTGGCCTGTATAACTCACTTGTTATCTATATCGCATGTCAGATGTTCATAGAAGGCAGAGTAAATATATACCTAAATACGCTAAATAGCATTACATATTATGGATCTTCGTTGGAATATTCAATTTCTCTACAATTTACAAATCATCGTTGTAAGATTTTAGCCAATGGAAATAATATGACCCCCGTGTAGTTATAGGTCATTCGATTATATTCCACACACTTCACATCAGTTTCGTAATTTTCTAAACGTAGGTCATTTGATGTCTCGGATGAAATTGGTTCAGCAAAAGTGTTCCCTCGACTAACATCGACCCATTATGTTGGTAACCTACAAAATGGGTCTATGTCAGTCGACGGAACAAACTTAATAACCTTTATCTGAGCATTCTTTATGCCAATTATCAATCCTCCCTTTAGCATGTTGATTGAACAGAAATCGATTGACAGATAACACATATCGCCTTTGTGACTTTGAAATCAGGCCAAAGTTATTTATTTGATGAAACTCAGCCCTTTCTAATACTTCTTTATTACTCAGAGGAGGTCTTCTTACATGTACCTTTTACAAATTTTATCCTTTTGACCTTAAAATTGAGGTTATGTACTTTAACATTGTAGACTTGTATACAACGATTTTATCTGCCAAAAATTACCCTATCTCTTGGTTATTCACAATAAGTCGTTAAATATTTTAAAAATGGTTTAAATAAATTTAACCCCTGTAGCTTTTGAAGGCAGCTCCAGGTTATTGGTTTTATAAAATGTTAAAAGCTCATTATCCTAGATTGATAAGGGGAAAATATCATCACCCTATGCATCTTAGTTGTTACGGAGGATTTATGTATAAAGGTGTAAGCAAAATCTAATTGCATCCACCTTGAAATTTGGGTAATGCACCTTTTTTCGAACAAACTTGCCGTTTGTTTCAGTATAATATAGACTTAATATTATAACCATTGGCATCATGGCAGAAGAATATGTTCAATTGTTTTAACAAATTAGACCCTTAGAGCAATAACAATTTTGCCATTCATTCTTCTTTATTTAGGATTTTTACATCTGCAATGAAAATGTAATTCATAAAATTCAAATTTTGTAATTCAAGGAGACACGGTAGTCTAGCGGTACGACGCCGGGCTCGTGACCGAATGATTGCTAGTTCGAGTCACGGCACGGCACTGTGTTGTATCTTTGAGCAAGAAATGTTAATCCTCTTGTTCCAGTCTACTCAGCTGTAAATGGGTATTGTACGTGATTATGCAGTGCTGGAATTGTTTAATGCTAGCTGTGAGCATCGAAATGGCAACACTGGCTGTATGCTCCCCAGGGAGATATTGGCTGGTTGCAAAGGCCCTATTACCACGGATAATACTTTGTGAACCGCTTATTATTATTACTATTCAAACAACAGGCCCAGGTTCTAATGAATTGACAAGACCGCGGCAATCGTTAACAATTATACGTGTATACATACACTATCCCAATGAAATCACGTCCAGCGTGTTACCAACTAGTGGGTAACCAAAAATGTTTACCAACTCCTAGCAGGTTTATAGCCAATGAGTCGGAAGCGAGGAAACATACTGGTTAAGGGGCAAATCAAATTACTGCGCATTGTAATACGTGATATTAATATAGGATCATATCTATTGTTATTATTATAATTATTTTAATTTACAAAGTGAATTTACGCAACGCGAAATACACTACATAATGATTGTAACACGTAACATTATAGCTTCTGGTTAGATTATGATAAATATATTACCATTATTGATATGTGATTTATATCAAGAAACAGTCTACATGTTTTTGTAGATTATTTATTTTAAAACCGCTTTTTAAAGATGAAAACAAATCATCTGTATTTCATTAACCTTTTATTAATAGAACAATATTTTAACATTTCAAGCATTATCTAAGGGTTGTCTTCCTATTTCGAAATAGTTGTTTCTCACTCACTTCTGTTACGTCCAAAGAGCAAACTTGTTAATGAAATGTAACCTTTTAGTTTATAACTTTATAAACCATTTCATATATACTTGAAATTTCTTATTTGGATTTAATTGTGTAGAATGGTGCAGATTCACAAGGGCGATAATGATTAATCTAGCACTTATTTGATCAAATTGCAATACAAATGCTTTCATCAAGTTAAGGTTTATTATTCCCCATAACATTTCTGTAGCGTTCTCTCTTACATGTCATACTACAAAAGCCGTTTAGTTTGTGAACCGTTGTGCAGTGTTCAGTTGGTCACATTGATTCATGTAATTTCCATGGGTTAGTATACTTTCGCTTTCGAAAGGCACTCTCCAGAAATCATATCTTAAGTATACAGTATATTATATTATTTATTTGTTCTAAATTTGCATTGAAGTTGGGGAAGATCCAATAAAAATAAGTTACTTTAAATAACCGGCCTATCTTATTACAGTCATGTGATGAACAATAGCGAATTGACAAGACTGATAATAACATATCAAGTGACCCGCGGCAATCATTATTACCACTGTATGTTAAAAACCTAATCAATATCAGTAAAGTACCTTATTAAAATTACAATGTATACATGGAACATGACTTACCCAAACTACGATGCCTTTGATAAGCTAAGATTCCCTGAATGGCATGTTACACCCTCCATGTACTGGCATGTTACGACGTGTTTCAGTCTTATCAGAACACCCAGCGGCTATCTAATGCAACGAGTCCGTATAACGGAGAGACTGAGTTCGGATATATATTAATAAATTAATAAATTAATAATCACTTTCATCTTAATTATTCATACAAATATAAGAAGATCTGCCACTTGCATTAATGTCAAATATCTGTGTAGTTTCTGCGGCAAATTAATCAATCATCAATACAAACATTTATTGCTAAAGGTAGACTTGTACAAGTCCCTGATTGCTATTTCTGTGTATTAGGGCGATAATTAAACAGTAAATCACTGTATAATTACAGTATGTCAGTAGTACAATTGTGTCTTCCGTACTACCGTTTCAATTTCTAATGCAGGCGTGACAGTAAACTCGAATGTATACATTTTTCGTTCTAAATGAGATAGTCATACATACGAATACCTATACAAATAGTAAAAACAAGTTTCTTATCATACCGCTTTTATGGATATATTCGTGGTCTAGTTTGAAAGAAATGGGTCCATTTGAATTGAAGGTATACTTATTGCTTATTGCATTATAAATAGTTGCAAATGACATTTATGTACAAGGTGGAAAAATAGCAAGAATAATATTGTATTCCTATGTGATTAAGAATATTTCATAACTGAGTACAATTTGATGCATTTCATTGAATTATTTTTAAAGGAAAAAATAAGAAAAAACTACTTCAAAGAAAAGAAAGTTTGAGTAGAAAAGAAGAATTTCTTTTCGTCTATGTGATA